CTAGGCCGTCAAACTAAATTTGCTATATGATCCATGAAATCATAAAAAGCAAAAAGCTATATACAAAGAAATAAGCCCAAGCTCTTAAGCTCAATGCACAATTTTACACTATTATTTTTAAATATGATAGCAATGCCATAAAAATGCAAACTGCTGTCTTCGAGACTGGTCACACTTTTAGAAGGCTGTCATTGGAGTACACTGCAGAAGCAGCATGAGTGCACCCCTTCCATAGGCTTTCACCATTTCCAAAGTTTGCTGGAGATATATCCTTCCCTCCTGTTGCTCTGTAAGAAGGAGACAAAGTATGATGGGGGACATGTTTTGTTGGCTTTTTTTGTTGTTGTTGTTTGCTTGGTGTTGTTTGTTTTTTTTGAGAAGGAGAGTGGAGAATTGCTTAAGTAGTCCTTACAAGAGGACTTACTTCAGGCACAGCTATCCCCAAGACAACTCCCAGTGAATTAATTCTGTTATCCTGTGAGAAAATGTTGAGGAAGGAAGGATGGTCTTTGACTCACTGTAGGATGAGTGCTTTCACAAATGAATTCATAAACCCATAGACATCTGAAATGTTATAGCCCTTAAATTCACAATATTTTCCTTGTTTCTCTCTTATGCAGACTATAAACTGTTTCAAACTATTTTTGTTTCTTTTTTAAAAAGGCAGTGCTACTAGGAAGGTGTCAGAAAGTGAAACACAGGAGGCAAACTCTCATTGCCACTGCCTTGAAGAGGAGAAAGGGTACAGGTTTTCCTCATCACCATGCCCTCCTGCTCACCATTCCCTGCCACCCACATGCAAGAAGACTTTGGGGTCTTGGTGGCTGAGCCACCCCCTTCCACAGTGTTTTACAAGGATGCCAGACCCACCCCTCTCCTGAGGCCATTGACCATTAAAAAGAGCAGAAGCTCCATGATCCCTCTCTTACCTCATGAGGCAGGGTCAGCCATGCACTCTAGATAAGAAGTGCAAAGCCTCTCACTAAGGACTCTAAGCATCAAAGACAGTGGGATAACTTCTATAAATACAACTCCTCTCACTTACCATGTCTATGATCAAATGCTGAAGGGAATGTGCTGAATTGGCGGATGGTCATTTGAATTTGGGAAACTCTACTGGGATGCCCAACTGTACTACAGATTTGGCCTTGTGTCTTTTCCCATAGTAATATATATCCCGTCCAACTCCTTGAACACATCCACAGGCACTAGAACATCCCAGAGGGATTTATGGCCAAACTCATCCCAGCGTGAGCTCCCTGTAGTCAAGGAGGAACTGGAGGTGGCCTCTAATGCTGAACAACAAGCCGTGGCCAACGTGGAAGATCAGAGGTCATAGCACCACCTACCTGTCACAGCACCACCAGGACATGCCTCCTCACGGTGACTTTGTCCCATGTCATGCCTTCACATAGGCCATTCCCCAGAGGACAGGCATGAGTCAGGGAGCAGCTCTTGGCACGGCCACACAAGAGACAATAGAGAAAGGAGTGTATTATTGATGACAAAGAAAGCTTTTTGTTTGGTTTTGATATTTTCCAGCTCGAGGGTGGGTGCGGTTGTTTCATTTTTACAAGGCCTGCTCTTGAGGGCAGATCTAGCAGTCAGCTCCAGTAAACTACCAGCACAGCATCCTTACAGACTCGGTGTCCAGACTCAGTTGTTAATGCCCCAGCCCCTTAATGGCTCCTCACATGGCTGACACCTCCATTTTCACTGGAGTTTATTTACAAACTGTACCTAGAGAAGCGCCTCTTCACTGGCCTCATTCTCCTTCCACGTGGCTGTCCCCTCTTGTCTTTTCATCTGGGATTTGTTGTGTTTTGCATCAACACAGTTTTATTTGTGCCACATAAAAATTCATAAATAATGCCTTTGTGACCAGTGAAAAATTAATAGGGAAAGGCTCTGTGTTGTGCCACAGCTCAAGGGTATCAGAGATGAGCTCAGAAATCAGAACAGACATGTCAGCCTCTGTGATCTTACAAGGCCTTGTGCGACGATCTCTGGCTTCAAGCCACATCTCTGAACTCAGCTTTTTCTGGATGCCAGAGGCTGGTTACCTTCACTTCATCACCGCAAACCCAAACCAACTTCTCGTTTTGAGAAATGGAATCTGCGCTACCCTAAGAAAGTTCATTTCTCCTGAATGATGCATCACACCTGCAGCAGCCAGAAGAGGCTCTTCTCCTTCACACAGAACTACCATGGAGCTGCTGAAGGCCCTGACACAAATTGCTGCTCCCACAGAAGGAGGGGAGGCTGAGGCCAAATGCTTCTGTCATCGTCAGGACCTCGGTGATCCTTGTTACATACAACTTGGCATTCCTCATTTTTTCAGCCTCCACTAATGTTAGGTGGCTCCTGAAACACAAAAAGCACATGTGCTCCCTGCTCCAAATCTTACACAGAAGGAAAAATAGTGAGGTGAAAGAACTGGGTGGAGATGGGTGATGAAAATAACAGGATACAAATATTCAGCCATATCCTTGGTATTACTACATTACATACTGTACATGCAGTATATATAAATAATAATTAACCGCAAGTACATAAGAAAAGACCATCAAGAAGACAATTGCCAAACAAGAAACATGCCACCACTGAACATGATCATGAAGCCCACCAGCCACAGACTGCAGAGTAAGACAGGGGTCTGTGTCACCACCACGTGCATAGTGGTTACACACAGTTCCCACTCTGTCCATTTCTTTTCTCTGTAAGATTTTCCTTTGTGCCTGGATTGATACCACAGAGGCTTAGAAAGAAAGCTTTTTGAAAAAAAAAAAAAAATAACTATGCTTCTTCTGCATGAGAGGTAAAGCATGAGGAATACAGCATACATAATAGAAAACTCTTAGGAGAAGGGCACGTTGCATCTTCCTTGGGCTTGATTTGAGTGCTGACAGGAAAAATGGAGGCAAAAGGAGGCTGCAAGTCTCCACACACTGGTAATTCTTGCCCTCACTGGTGTCCTCGGGTATCGGATTTAGCAGCCCAGCAGTAGCTGTGAACAGCACTCATTGATGACATCCTCCAGGACGTCACTGCACAGGCACAGATCAGCAAGCGAGATAGCGCCTGCCCACCCTCGTGGAAGAGACCGTGCAGTCCAGATGAAGAACTTGTGATGGAGCTTCTTTCTTTTCCCAGCACCAGTAATATTAAAAGGACCAGAAGAGAATGTGCTGCAGAGAAGCAAATAACTTCATCCTAAAATTAGATTATTTAATATTCCAAGTACAAGAATACGCTAGGATCCTCCCTCACATCCAACCACACAGATAACTCCTCCTGCAGAACAGGCTGCCTAGCCAGTCCTGTTTAGAAATTTCTTTAAAAGCTCATTTCTGTGCTTTGTCTCATTGCCCTCTCTGCCTGCCAAAAGCAAACTTCCCCAATTTGGCAGCTGTTTTGCATGTGATGTCATTTTTCAAGTGCTTTGCAGTGTGCTACAGCATTTGAACTTTCCAGGCTGGGTTCAGCACTTCCCCCCTCATCACCACCTATGGAGAACATGGCCTCAAAGCATCAGGCACTGCATCAAGAAGGAAAAGCCCAAAGCCATGTGCAAAAGGGTGGGCTCAGCAATCAGTACATGAGGTCCCAAAAGGAAGAAAATGGCCACATAGTGCCATCCCTTCGAAAACACTACTGTTTTGTCATGATTACCTGAATCAGGGCAGATTTCCACACATCCATAGGGGACCAAGGTGCACAGCGACTTCACTGGGGTTGGCAGCACTACCTTCCTTCGTACATATTCCTACCTGGCTCTGCAAGACAAGAGCTATGCAGTTGTACTTCTAGTACCTATAGGCAACACATTTTATGTTCCTTTTCACCTACCCTCCACACTGGCAGATTTCAGCCAGATTTGACAGAAAACAGATGCCTCCAAATAAATTACTTTCCAACATGCTTTGGGAAAAGAGGTGGCATGGTGGCAGAGACACCTGAGAGATGAAACCTCAGAGCACCCAGTTGAAGGAAAGACTGTAGTCAAGGCTCACTGCGTAGCACACAGAATTAACACAGGCTCTCCAACACCCTTCCTGTCTCATAGTTTTCACCAGTATAAGCTTAAGGCCCCAAGCCATACTAAATGAGTTAAGGCTGACACAAGCACAGGATTTGTGCCTATCTGTTCTGAGAGTCAATTTCTATTGACTCTCAGAAAAGATAGGTTCAAGCCTCCATCAATTTATTAACACACCATAAGTAAAACAGTGCACTAATTAGCAGAGAAGATCAGCACAGGCAGACACTCTGAAAAACATTTAGGTCTCACTTACCCAGACTGACTCCTTTCTGAAATATTGCTAGTTTACTTTTACTCATACAGGCAAGTATTTGCCTATCATTTTAAAAGGCAACACTTCTTAATGCCCTTTAAAACACACAGCAGTGTCATTACTCTTTCTTTGTATGCAAATCCAACCTCTGAGCAAACACCAAGGCTTTCATAAGCAAGCAAAACTGTAGAGCAGACAGCACACTCATTGATGCCACTGAATTTCATCAGCACAGCTCTTATCAGAACATTTTCTGGATAAGTTTTTTTTTAGTGTCAATTTGACACATCCCAGCACAAAGATCAACAGCCATTCCACCCTCAGCTGCTGAGCTGAGGGTTTTCTCCCATAGCAGGCCTACTGTTTTGGCAAGGGCCTCCACTGTTGGTCCATTTTATAGCTTGCTTTAAAGTGCAGGGCTTCACGCACATTCACAAGCTAGATCTGCAGGACATCCCCACTGCTTTAAGTGCCTGCACAGAAAATAACCTGTGTACCAAAGCTGCTGTCCTAGGGAGGACAGCACAAAGACTGCAAGTCTTCTCCTCCTGCCATGGAAAAGAAAGTTTTCCTTAGGAGGTGAGGCCGTCCCTTAGCAGAAGTCAACATCACTTGTGGGTGCCTGGCTATCTCCATCTGCACCCTGCCTCCTCACCTTCACCCATCCCCACCAGCTCCCTGTCCCCCAGCTCAGCAGCCTCCTGCTGCCCGCACCCATCCCACAGGAGGCAGCACCCAGACTCCAGCCACCTTCAGCAGGTGCAGGACCAGCCTCAGACTGCCTGTGGAGCAGGGACAGGGTACTGCCTCTGCCCCTTTTCTAGGGCACCAGGCATCCTGCCCAGCTCCTCCACAGCCAGACACCAGTCTTTCCTGTTACCATGTGGATATACAATATGGCACAACAGGAAAAGGCATCCCATAAAATCCTGGTTCCTCTGTCAGAGAGCAGCTGGGTCATCCTGCATTGGGTTAGGAGCGAGGGCAGGTCCCCAAAACATGCTACAAAGGAAGCAGCTGGCACAGGATCCATGGCCACGCACATCAAAACCCCAATGATGATCACCTACAACCTCAGGGTTCATGCCAGCTAAAGATCCAAGGATGAATTCACTCCACAAGCAGGTGCCTTCATGGCTGCAGGACCAGTCCCAAATAGCTGGCAAAGCTGTTCACAGATTAGGTCCTGTGGGGCATAAAATGAAGAGTAGTGGCACTTGAATTCAGCCCAACCTAAAGGCTCCTGGCAACTCAAGTCCCTCCCCAGCTTGCTCATACTCACATCCGTGTGTCCACCTGGCATCCAGGAGACAGCCAGCACCCATTTGCCGCATGGCATTAGGGCGCTCTGTTAATCCCAACCTCTTTGAAGTGTAGAGATATGACATTTGCTCATCTTCACCCGAAGAGCAGCAGGGAAGACCTTCTCTTACCATGTATGTGGCTGGCAGCAAGCCCAGCAGCTCACACAGGTTTGGTCTGAAACCCTCAGAGCAGCTGTATCCCAAAGAAATGTTTAAGAATAACAAGCACATCAGCACTAACCAAACCCTGGTCATTTCATTGCACTTATCACTTGGAAAGCCACACAGCCAGCAAATTAAACAAGCTAATCCAGCCAGTGTCAAACACTGCCAACGCACATCAGTGAAGATGACGGCAGGCTTTGCCCTTGGCTTCTGCAAGACAGGCAGTGTGCTCTTTATTTGCTCTTCTGTGATAACAGGTATTGAATGCCACGCAGGTGCTAAGTGTGGAGAAAAAAAGCTGTCCCTGCAAGGTCTTCATGCCTGCAGGGAAGAGGCAGCATCAGTGCATCTTCACTGCCCCCATGCTTATTCAGCCACATGTTGTAATAGGGATCTCAGTATTGTGTGGCCAGCGTACAGAGGCATTTTGTCTGCAGCCACATTGTTGGTGTATCAACTGACATTTACCTCAGCTCTCTTCCTTTCCTTTATTGTGATTCATGCTCCATACTAATTAAACAGCACATGACAAATACATCATTATTAACAGCAGCTGGAGAGCTAGTAAATCTTGCAGCAGCCTAAACAGAACAGCCATGCACTGCAATAGCATCCTCTGGGTGCTGAGACAGGGCTAATGAAGAATGCTGAGCTGAGGCAAGGCACCAACACCTCCTGCCAAGTGCCCATGAAGAAGTTCCAGACCCTCAGCAGTGAAAGACATCTGCGTGCTATGTGCACAGATAACTGCAGGTAATACCACATCCCCATCTTACTGCTCTGGTTATGTGCTGCTGGATGAGGGTAGCTCAGCTGATGCCACCTCCCCCTCACCCAGCCTGCAGTCACAGAGAGACCCTTTGTGTGCTGGATGTCTCACTTTGCACAAGGATGCTGCTCCACATCAAGCCCAGAAAACATACCAACATAGCTTCAATTTCCATCCTCAGCTTTCTCCTCCTGTTCTAGGGCACCCCAGGAAAATGAAGCAGCTTGCACTGATGTACGCTCCGAGGGGACAACAGCAGATCATCAGCATCCTAGAGCCAGGCCAAAAAAATTATAGGAAAACAAGATTATCAAGTTATTGTAAATGGTTGCCAAGAGTTAAAATTCCCACGCACATGCTGCGAAGCTCTTCTTTCCAGGGGGCAATTGCCCAACAGGCTTTTAGGATCCTGTATAGTTATTGCTTTTTTTCTCTATTCATCTTCTGTTTGTCTCTATATACAAAAATATTGCTGTCAGACAACACAGCAATGAGGAAGCAGCAGTGATTTGTGATGATTTGGTGGAAGAATTCTTGAAGAATAAGAACTAGATGATGCACTTTTACAGCAAAAGCCTGCATTTTTCTTCACTGTTGTCAAGGGTTTATTTATACAGAGCAATTCATGTAGAAAACCTCCCCCCAGCACTGGGCAATCCAGGGCACAGCCACACTGAACATCACAGCCCACTACTGCAAAGTAAGCCTGGACAAAAAAAAAAAGAATAAAAATAAATGGTTTGACCGAAAGACCTTCAGGGATTTTATATTTTTAAAGGCTTCTAGGTTCAAGGGATGTTCCCAAAGCTGAAGCATCTGAAGTGTTTGCACAGGATAACCCGGCATAGGAAGGGTGTCTCCAGCAAAAAGCATTAGAGCCTGGAAAAGCAGACAGATTTTGACTCCTTGTTTAACTAAGAGAAGCTGGAGATTTTCTTTTTGTTGCTGGCAGAAGTACAACATAAAGGTACTCCTGCTAGATTTAGAAAATTGTTTCATGAGTCAGGCAAGCACGAGAGGAACAAACTGCTGTCAGCTCACTGGCAAGGAAAACAAAGCTGTAATCCCCCTCCTTTGGTTTCATTCCCTCCCAAATGCTTCTTAAAGTGCAGGTAAGCCAGATATCACAGAAATCCTTTTATCCTCCACTAGAAAACAGCAGTTTCTAGAGCAAAGAAGCCATCCGTATGCTGAGCAGAAGCAGACAGCAGGCTGCCACAAGCATTTCACACATGCAAAGCCCAACGCTGGGAGGAAGGCCAGGCAAACCCACTTAGGCAGCCTGTTTCTCTAGGACTCCTACAATTCCTTACGACTTCCAATCAATATTGTGACTAAATCCTCACAAATAACAAACTCCTCATTTCAGTCTGACAGACCTCCGCCAGTTCCTGTGAACATTTTGGCAGTCAGACCTCTTGCAGAAGCTACTAGATAACACGTTTTTCCTCTGTATGAATACCTACCTACATGCCCATTTTTATGTGTGCATGAGCCACAAATGCCAGCCCGGTTTCCCAGCACAGATGGAAAAAGCAAGCCCTCTAGATAGCTCCCTGGCACCTGAGCCACTGAAGTGTTGGAGCAGTTACAGCTTGCTTCTGACCATGGCAAGCTCTTTCATCAGGCCACATCCCATATCTAGAGGAGACTTTCCAAGTTAATCAGCTAAACAAGAGCAATAGAGACCCACAAAATGGAGAAGAAGACACCAGAACCAGCAGCACCCCAGCTGTTTCACCCTCGGCTTCACTGCAAAGCACCCCTAGAAGCTCTCCACATCCCACCTGCCTCCAGAGGTGTTGGGGGCTGTCACAGTGCCCACCCAGCTGCCTGTCCTGCCCTGCTGCTGGGCTCAGGATTCACCTCTTGGCAAGGGAAGGGTATTAGGGTATTGGAGAGACAACCAGCATTTGGGAAAGATGTCCCAGGATACCACCAGCATAGCCAGCACATCTGCCCAGCAGGTCTGAGCCATGCCTGTGCCCCTGGATACCTTTTCTTTGGGACCTGGCACAGAAACCCCTGCATTGGGCTGCTACTCTGAGGCCACGTGAGGCAAAGCCCTCATACCACACTGTGACTGCATCTTCAGTCAGCTCCCATCCTGTAAGGCATCAGGTTCCTTCACCCTTCATTTTAACAGATCTCATCTACTACACCTGCCCTGCATTTCCTGCACTTGGGCACAATCTGCCAGCAGCAGCCCCATGCATTAACCCTCTGCCTAAGCTCTGTAAGTATAGGATGGTTTGCTCCTGTGTCCTCCTGGCCCTCCAGCTGTAAATCGTCTTTCCATCATGACTCATCTGATTACTTGCTGCCAGGGGCTCGGGGACTGGTAGCTGGACTAAAGCTGATCCTTCCACCCAGGACACAGAAATTGGTGTTTTGAGATGCTGCATCTGCACCGGGCTGGTGGTAAGCATGTGAAGCCAGCCACTGCTTTCACCAAAAAAAAATAAAAACAGAATTTGAGTGCTGGTAATCTTTCTATCACTCCCCTGCACCCACCTAGAAGGATCCCCAGGCAGAGGAGGGCAAGACAGACGTGGCAGAGGCTGCAGGACCCATCAGGGCTGAGCAAATACCACAGCAGCCAGCTCTGGTGAGCTTTGTCACAGCTCCCACGCTAGCTGGTTACAGCTACCTTGGGCACACAGGCTGTAAGGTGATGCAGCAGGACATGCTTTAGGGGAATTTAGTGAGGGGATGTGATAGGGACGGCATCAGCATGCAGAACTTTTGCTGTCCTTGGCAGACCATTGGACTGAAAGTCGCTCATCATGCTATAGGCAACACAGAATTAATTTGGTCGGGCACAAATGACATTTTGTTATCATTACCTGGTGACTCAGCGCTTTATATTTTTCATTTTCTGCCACTGCAAATGAGACAAGAGCCTCTGAAAAAGGGAGGCAGACAGATGTGAGTCCTGTGATAGGGACGATGGAGAAATGTGCCGAAGAGCTGGTACTGCTGGCACGACACGTGAGCCCTGCGACAGCTGGCAGAGGAATGAGTGCAAGTGATGTGAAGCCAAGCCATGTAAATTCATCATGTGCGCAGGGAAATCTCTGCATCTGCCAGCACCAAGTGCGTCAGAGCTCAGGCACAGAGCTGAATCTTACACCCGCTGAAGTCAGTGGTAAGGCTCCCGTGCACTAGGACGCATTTCTTAATGCTTTCTGTAGGTAAGAGCCAGGATCCCTGCACAAGTCGTTCACTCTCTTACATCATGAGAAAGCAAAGCTCGCTTGGAAAATAAAACACAATGGCTTTCAGCAAGATGTTAAAGCAGCCAGCTCATCGACGCCACACTTCAGAGGTGAGGCTGCGTTTTACATCACTGAAACAACGCGTCGTTACTGGGGAAGAGGAACAGAGCCCAGATTTTCAAATCCAGAGGGGCTCTGCTGCGGTGCCGCTGGCACCCCCTGATGCACAGCGCTGCCTGCATGGCCCACACCTACCAGCCCCAGAGGGACCTGCAGCCAGCACGCCTGAGCACCCCAAGCAGAAGGGGACAGGTTGTCCTGGTCACTGCAGGGTGCATCACCCACAACAAAAGGTTAGCACAAGTTCTTACCATTGCATCACATTGTTTCAGGTAACGTCGGTGGAGGTCTTATGGAAACTCCCACTCCTCCTTTGGGTCAGGACCTATAACTTGCAATGGGCTAAGGGCCAGTTTTATCCCAAGAAGCCTGCCCTCCTCTTGTGCTTTTACAGAACGGGTGTCCCATCAGAACCAGCTTCTTAATCTGTCAAAAGTGATAGCATCCTCATAATAAAACCAACAGCTCTCCTAGATTGCTACAGGCATAATTAAAAGAAACTGACTGACATTTTAATATACGCTGCTCTCAGATCATTAATGGGGTTGCTGAAAAGATTCCTTGGTCTTAAACTCTAAAAAGTGAGCTTGTCAAGAGGGAAAGTGTTATGGCCCTAGCCAGCACTTGGACTTCAGTTATGAACTAAAACTAACACAATTCAACTGCAGCTTAACTGAGACAATAAGCAGGAAGATTTTGTGCTCCGGTAGGTAAAGAGTTGGAAGCTGAATGGCTCCTACTTGCTTTCTGGAGACAGAGAAGATGAAATCATGATTCCTTCTATCCTGATTGAGACTTAAATTCATTGCTGTTGGTAGAAGCTGTCCCAGGGAATTCAGCAGAGGCATTCAACACTGCAAAAAGTCCTGGAGGGACCCGGCAAAGAGGTGCTTACTGTGGATCTCTCTGAGCAACAGGGTGCAAAGTGGCTTCTCCTCTCTCCTTTTCCTTCACATGCACTCCTCTCCTTCAGGAGGGGCAAACATCTCAGGGAGGGAGCTGCACCGAGTGCTTGCAGGGCTCACGTTCCTTCATAGCCCTGCAAGAAGACAGAGCTCAAGCAAGGATAAAAGACAAATGCATCAAACTCACCAGCTTCCCTTACAATTGCTCCACGATGAGTCAAATGTCAGGTTTTGGAGAATTTGCCCATCTGGAGATAAATGGATAGACAGATAGTTAATCTGTTTCCCTCTGCAGAAGAACTAACTGCTGTTGTTTCCCCACGACAGTTCCCAGTCCCCAGAATACATCTCCACAAGGTACAACAGGGTCGAATTAAAGCATGAAGGCCGTACCCCTGCACCAGCCACGGATCAAGAATATATGGCAGAGCTTATTAATAACTTTATTCCATGTCAAGATAGGTTTCTCAAGACCAGCTACAATAAGTGTGTATTAAATCAATCACAATCAAAACCCAGTCTGCCTTGAAGTGACTTCCAATTAGAAAGCAGTAACATTATTAAAGGGCTCAGACAGCCAAATTAAAGAGCTACACTGCGGAGGAATCATTTCCCAGAGGGCTGATTTTCATCATCCTCAGAAATAAAAGCCTTCAGAAGCTCAGATTCCTCATCAAGAAATACATTATCAAATTAAAAGACTTGCTAACATTATGTCACTATCAAGTTTTCCCTTTTTGGAGACTTTTTTTTTCTTCTACCCAACTACCACCAAACTGAACGGGTAAAATCATGAAGCGGTGCCTTCTTCACATCTGAATGCCCACATTTGATCTGAAATCTTGATAAAGCACAGGGCATGGTGACAGGAAAATATTAATTGCAGCTTTGTTGAATGGATTATATTTTTAGCCGGGGAACAAAGAGCTTACTTGATCATTCAAAGAATCAGGAGCCAGTCTGAAATGAAGTGATGAGCTTGGATTAAGGCGACAGATTAGAAAGTGGAGTTTTGCAAACCAATTTCA